CTGCCCTTGTCCTAAAAGCATGTCTTCAGTAGCAGTAGTCAGTGGATCATTGGGTCCTCTACTCAGGTTTTCCACCTGAGCTATCCGTACCTTATCCTTCCATCTTTCAGGAAAACAACAATTGTTGTGTAGGATCAAAAACATTTCTATCACAGCCTTAATGTCAGTTTGAGTAAGGACTTGGTTTTTGAAAAATTGTTCTAACATTTGTTGTACATATTTGTTATCAAGTCCATATTGCATGATGGCACGCTGTGCTTCTCTAATTGTTTTCCAATCCAGGGGTGCCCATCGTCTTTGTCCCTGCAGGTCTGTAAGTACAGGGTAAGCAGTAATAGAAGAAGGCAGTGTATACCCTTCAAGGATTGCATGTTCAATCACACCCTTCCAGCGATGTCCTAGTGAACAGTCAGGATCCATTGGTGGTGGTGGTGGCCGATTAGGAGTGTTCCCACTTTTGACACTACATATCACTGCCTGCTGCTGGGATCGTGGAGGATCCATCAATCGCTGCATACCTTGATATCAATCACTGCCCTGCTTTCTCATAGCCTTATATTCTTCTATCTGTTCTTCAGGAATTCCTCTGTATTGGTCTTGAATATATTGATCTGCCTCTTGACAAGACATAGATCCATCTTCCACACACATTTCAGTCCACCACAAGGTTCTCCTGATTTTTGCAATATCATCATTTTTTTTTATTTCTGTGTGTCTTGCTAGAAGACTGCTGAATGGGTTCTGTCTGAAGGGGTTCTGTTTTCTTTTCCACAGTTGCTGACTCCCCTAAGTAATCCAAACTCTCTTTGATAGTCCACGCTGCTTTATCATACATTTTTTGAATTTTCCTGTTACTTGCAGAGCTGGTATCTATTTGTCACATTTCTTCTAACAAGTCTTCTAAAGTGTTTATTTTATTTCCGCACTTCTTGCACGATAGGATCAGGGTGAAGCTGATCCTGTGCCGTGGCAGTATCCTGCTGCACAGGACCTGGATCATCTATTTCCATGTCACTATCATCATTCGGTCAAGGCACATTTTCAGGTTTTTTGAGAGGTTTATACGGAGGGACTGGAAAGGACGCAGATGCCTGTTCGGTGGGTGTCAGCAGTGCAGATGGAACAATAAGATTACCATTCCAGAAATTTATATCCTCCGTAAGAAACGAAGCGATTGGGACCCTCCTATCTTTCAGGGTGGCTTTCGGCATCGCTGCTGCGGCTTTCAGCACTTCTACTGCAGCCTCCCCTCCGCTCGAAAGAACTTGTTTCAATTTTTGAACTGCTCCTGCTTCCACAAGACCTTGTTCCAGCATTCTAGCACAGACATCCCACACAGATGCCAGACGTGCTACACTGGTGTTTCCTGCACGGATAGATTGCCACAGGTTGTCTCCCAGTTGATTCCACACAGTGAGAGAGAACACTTGATCTGTGTCTTGGAAAAACCCTTTCTGCTGTCCCCACCGCAGCAAATCTTCTAAATCAACAGTCTTAACCTCTGTCTCTGTTGTTTTTCCTAATTTTAACACTAACTTTAATGTCGCCTTTTCTTGCACAGATGCCGTGTTTCCCATGGTCACTGCTCCCGTAAGCTTCCATTTCCTGCCTCTCTTGGGCAGTCCGGCGCTTTGTGACGAAGTACTCTGATAGCCGGTACTGAGACCCTGTTTTCTATATCCAGTTTTGCTACTGTTTCTGTTGGTAAATCTTTCACATCCTGGTACCATCAGAAGGCCATCAGAAAAACAGATCATTTTTTCACAACTGAAACTTAAGATTTTATTCTCATAGCAGCATATCCTCTAGTTAGCCACATAAGGTTATGTTCTCAGGGCTGCAGCATATCCTCTACATTAGCACCAAAAATACATACAAGGAACCTTTACACATTCGGATATTTACATTTCTGCCTGGATGTGGGTGTGAACTGACTGTGGTGTGAGTGTTGTTATTAGGAATCTATAATTCAGTCACTGTTAAATTTTAGCAAATACTATTGAATCACTTGATAACTGTAAAATTGGTAAATAATTAAGTCCTACTAATCTCCTTTGCCACTTTATCTTTGTGTCCAAATCCTTTGCAACCTGACCCTCTTGCATCCCAAGGCTCTGTGTAAATCATTCCCTCTCATGGAAAAAATATTTTTTTTTGACGTCCACTTTAAAATCTTCCTCCTTAGTTAAACTACAAAACAACTCCAATTAGTTGTTGAAGCCTTGAAAACATGAAGATAATTAGAATGAAAATAATTTGTCTCTATTTTAATGAGCCCCACAGCGTGTTTAAAGAAAAGTTCATTGTTCTGAGGTATTGAGAGAAGATTGAAGAAGCTGCTCAAGAAGTCAGAAGCCAAACTCCCAGTCCCTTGAAGCATTGCTGGGCCCCACTGAGGGCAGGCACTGACAAAGCCTCCCCAGGGACTTTTTGGAGCAGATCCTTGCAGGCCAGGAGTGCAGGCAGACAAAGGAAAGTTGCTTGTGGTGGCCTGAGGGGCAGAGGCAGCTGCCAGAGCCAAGGGCACAAAGGCCTGGGTGCCTTTGGGCCTTGCAGCCCTGCCAGAGCCCTTGGCCATCTCTGCTGCAGGCTGTGCTCCCCTGGCCCTGCTGCTCCTCTGGCCTTGCAGGCTGCACACACCCCTCCTGCTTTCCCACCCCCTCCCAGCACCATTTCTGGGCCCTCCCTGATGGCTCTGCTGGCCCCCAGCTCTGGCTGCTGCCATGGGCACTTGGCCTTCTTGGCTTGGATGCTGAGCCCCTGTGCCCCAGGACATCCCTGAGAGAGCCCAGGCCCTTCTGCTGGGGGTCCCTCCCATTGCTCTGCCAACCCCTTGGGGCTGCTCTGGGCCCTGCAGGTCCTTGCCCTGCTCCCAAGGGCTGTGGGGGTGCTTCATGATCAGGGCTTGGGCTTTAGAGCTCAGGGTGGGGATTGGGCAGAACTTTGGCAGGTTTGTTGTTCTGCTGGCAGGGTCTGGTTCATGACTGGGGTTTTGGGCTGGGTCAGGATTAAAGCTTTCCTTTTCATACTAACAATACAGGTTTTGGATTGGAATAGGCATCAGGGGAGAAATAAGAGTCTGGAGATCTGGGTTTGGGTTTTGCTTTCAGGATCTGGTTGAGGTTGGGATTAGAGCAGTGGATTCCTTCCAGTTGGAGGGGCATCACTTTTGTGTAGTGTTAGGGCTTGAGGTTACAAATAGAGTAAAGGTCCATCAGGAATGTTTGCACAGTCAGTATTTCAGCACCCTCAGCATTCCCTGAACCTGGTTTTACCTCATCAAAATCTTTCCTCTCTATTGGCCAATCTCCTCTTCCTTCCCCAATTATCTTATCCTTTTTGTCCCAGTTCCTCCAAACTTCCACAAATCTTCCATCAGGATGGGTTCAGCTTTGTGCTGATGCTGTGCAACCTCATGGAATCAAGAGACACTGTGAAACTGCAGAACCTCCTGGAATTATGGGGCCATTGTGACCCTGGGGAAACCCATGGAATCAAGAGGCCACTGTGACACTGCAGGGCCCCCTGGAGCCAAAGGAACCCAGGGACAGTGGGCAACCTCCTGAAATAAAGAGGCCATTGTGACACTGCAGAAACACCTGGAATCAGGAGGCCATTGTGACACTGCAGGGCCTTTTGGAAACAAAGGAACACAGGGACACTGAGATCTGGGGGAACCAAGGGGCCATTTTGACATGTGAGGCCTCATGGAAGAAAAGGAACCCTGAAACCTTTTGGAACCTCATGGAACCAAGGGGCCATTCTGACACTGAGGAACCTCATGGACTTAAAAGCCAGCTGATGGTGCTCCCTGCCACTGAGCACCTCCCACAGATGCTCCTGTGAGGCCATGGAGGGTGCTCAGAGGGGCCCTGCCTTGTTCCAGAGCTGGGACATGGCTTGGGGGGCTGCTCTTTATTGACCTGTGCAAGTTCACTGAGGGGAAGGGAAGTCCCTTGCAAGAGTTTTCCCTGATACTGCTGTGTCCAGTGGGATTGCAGAGCTCTCTTTGCCACTTCGCAGCAAGATTTAGTACTTTCTGTCTGGGTGACTCCACCCTGGGCAGGATTCTGCTCCAGGGCTCCAGTCACTGCTGACTGGATGGGACGGGCTGTCCCTGCAGATCCTCTGTGCTCTCCTGCACTTCCTCATTCCCTACACACAAGTCCTCCCCTGCCATCAGAGCCAGCACAAGCTGCAGAGCCCCAGGCAGGGGACTTGGAGATCCTTTGTCATCTCCATTGCCCATTGGCCACCAACACACAACATCTGAGCCAGCCCTCAGGCCCTGCAGTCCCAGTGGGTCCCTGCCCTCCCTGCACTGTCTCCATGGAGAAACAAGCACAGGAACAAGACTTTGCAGAGTCTATTCCTTAGACTTCTCCTCCATACCAGTGTTGGGAAAATGCCTCAACCTTCAGGAATTGCCTGCAGGGGAAGCCCTTTGCTGATGGAAGTGCTGGTGCTGAGCCCAGCCCTGTCCCAGCAGTGCCCAGGGCCTGTCCCTGCCTGTGGTCCCAGCACTGACACACAGCAGGACAGTGACTGAGCTGCCAGAGCACTCAGGCCTTGGACACGGACAGCAAAGGAGAGGGGGGAGTGCAGAGAGAGCAGCTCTGGAAAGACCCAGTTCTGGTGCTCCCTGGCAGGGCTGGGAATCTCTTCACCTCCACATCTGCAAACATGGAAATGCCCTCTAGCTTCAGGGTAGGTCTTGAATGAAGGAAAAAGAAATTCTGTCGTTTCTTACACTCAGAGATTGTGAATCCTTCATGTACAAACTATCACAGGGAGGATGTTTGACAAATACCTTGCTGCACAAATTTTTATTTAGTTTAAATGCACACAGAGACTGATTCAAGATTAGTACATTTTTGGAGTAAAAAAAAAAAGGAAGAGAGTGAATTATATATGGGATAAAGAATTAAATTTCAGTGTTAATGACAAGAACAAGAGGAATATAACATGAAAACCCCCAACTCCCACCACAATCAAAAGTATTAGAAGGCAGGCTGGGCCCAAACGGTGTTAAACAATGAGTGTTCTGCAGAAGAAAAGATGCAGTTTTTTGCTCCTGAACAACATCCAGTCATCATTTTCTTTATGGCATCCTTGAGCTCCTGGTTCCTCAGGCTGTAGATGAGGGGGTTCAGTGTTGGAGGCACCACTGAGTACAGAACTGACAGGGTCAGATCCAGGGATGGGGAGGAGATGGAGGGGGGCTTCAGGTAGGCAAAAATGATAGTACTGAGAAAGAGGGAGACCACAGCCAGGTGAGGGAGGCACGTGGAAAAGGCTTTGTGCCGTCCCTGATCAGAGGGGATCCTCAGCACAGCCCTGAAGATCTGCACATAGGAGAAAACCATAAAAATAAAACAACCAAATGCTAAACAGGCAGTAACAACAATGAGCCCAATTTCCCTGAAGGAACCTGAGTGTGAGCAGGAGAGCTTGAGGATCTGAGGGATTTCACAGAAGAACTGGCCCAGGGCATTGCCCTGGCACAGGGGCAGGGAAAAGGTATTGGCTGTGTGTAACAGAGAATTCAGAAACCCAGTGGTCCAGGCAGCTGCTGCCATGTGGGCACAAGCTCTGCTGCCCAGGAGGGTCCCGTAGTGCAGGGGTTTGCAGATGGCAATGTAGCGGTCGTAGCACATGATGGTGAGGAGGAAAACTCTGCTGAGATGAAGAATAGAAAGAAAAAGGCCTGTGCAGCACATCCTGTGTAGGAGATGGTTGTGGTGCCTCAGAGGGAGTTGTGCATGGCTTTGGGCACAGTGGTGCAGATGCAGCCCAGGTCTGTGAGGGAGAGGTGCAGCAGGAAGAAGTCCCTGGGGGTGTGCAGGTGCTGGTCGCAGGCTACGGCGCTGAGGATGAGGCCGTTGCCCAGGAGGGCAGCCAGGGAGATGCCCAGGAAGAGCCAGAAGTGCAGCAGTTGCAGCTCCTGCCTGTCTGAAAATGCCAGCAGCAGGAACTGGGCCATGGAGCTGCTGTTGGGCATTTGCTGCTTCCTCAGAGTGTTTGGATCTGCTGAGGAAAAGTCAGTGCTGCAGTCCTGCTGCAGCCAAACAGGACACATCTCACAGCCACCCCACTCTCAGGCTCTCTGTCCTCACTCAGACCTCTCTGCAGCTCCCTCCCCTGAGCTCTGGCTGTTGCTGCCTGAATTCCTTGTGTTTGTTCTCCCAGTTGCATCTGCCACAGTTAAAAGTGGTTGTGGATGTTGGAAATCCCAGACATTTCCATCGCACTGCAAGTCAATTCTTCTGGGTTCTGAGGGCACAGGGACGGTCCCTCAGTGCAGACCGAAGAGCTGCTCTGCCCATCAGTCTGTGCTCAGCTGCCCTGTGCTGGCAGCTTTGAGCTCCAGGAGCATCACACTCAACTGTTCCCCTACACAGAAACTGCACAGATCTCCAGGAATCCGTGCCCAAAGAACAGACTGACACACTCCTCACCTTTTCATCTCTGTCCTCCCAGAGTGAGACACCAAATGCTCATTGCAGCTGCCCAGAGCATTTCCATGGAGTTAGCGCTGAGGAGTTTTCTCCACAGGGATCCTGTGCAGCACTCAGATACCATGGCAGAGCTGTACCTGTCTGGAGGGCACCTGCAGCCCTCCAGGACACCCAGGGAAACAGCTGAAGAGCCTGAAGTTGCCTGCAGGGCACTTGGGCACTTGGCTCCCACAGACACATCCCCACAGCAGCACCCAAAGGGTTTGAGTCTGCACACAAACCCCACACTGGCTCAAAAATCCCAATGGTGAGAACAAGGAGTGCCCAGGCAGCAGGGGATGGCAGGGAAATGCCCCAGTGCTGCTGCCAAGGGAGGAGGGACAGGCAGAGCCAGATGGAAATGAGGGCCTTGTCCTTGCCTGGGCTCTGGCTGCTGCAGGGCAATGCCCAGCCCAGCCCCCGTGGGCCTGAGGGCAGAGGCTCTGCTTGGGCTGGCAAAGGAGCCCAGGCAGGAGCTGCTCAGGGAAGGGCTCTCTGCCACAGACACAGGCAGAGAGGGGCCACATCCCCCTGGGCAGCACTTGTGGCAGCAGCTGCCTCTCCCTCCCTGCCTGGGTGTGTGTGAGGAGCTGTTCCTGCCAGCAGCCCCTCCCTGTGCCCAGCTCAGCTCCCTGCCAGTGCTGCCAGAGCCCATGCCCAGCCCAGGGCCCAGGGGCAGCTCTGCCTGGGCAGGGGCTGCAGAGCAGATCCCAGAGCCCCTGCACTGGCTGGGAAGGAGCAGGTGTTGGCAGTGGATGTGCTTCCTGAGCAAGGCCCCTGCCAATGGCAGCAGGTGCAGCTGAAGCTGGGAGGAGCCCTGAGCCTGCAGCTGAAGGGCCCTGCCCAGCCCTGGCCTGCCAGGAGGGCTCACTCCTTCCCCCCACCCCTTCTCCCTGCAGGGCCGTGGCAGCTCCTTGGCCGGGCTGAGAGCTGCCCCTGGCAGGCAGCAGAGTCCCTGCCCCAGCACACACAGCCCTGGGGGGCAGGACCCTGCTCTGCCCCACAGCCCTGGGCACCCCTGGCTGCACCCCCACCTTCCCACCCCACAGCCAACCCTGGCACAGGGAACCTTCTGGCCCTGGGCCTCTGATGGGGCACCACCAAGTCCTGCTCTGCAGCAGCTTCTCCTGCTACCCTCCAGCAAATCCAGCACAGCCATCCTGACAGCTCCTGGCATTTGGCAGCTGCAAGAGCCACTTGCAGCAACTCCCCTGCTCTGCTCTGCAGCCACAGCCTTCCCGTGCCAAAGGGCTGCCAAGGTTCCTCCCCTGAGCAGCTCTGCCCTGTCCTCCCAGCCCAGGATCCCTTTCACCTCCTGCTCCCTTCTCCTGTCTGCCCTTGCTGCCTGCAGCTCCTGCCCTGCTCTGCCATAGGGCCACTTCCTGTGCCCTGCAGGGACTGGGAGAGGCCTTCTGAAAGATCCTACAAGCTGTGGGATGTGGCAGCTTTAGGAGATCCCTGCAGGAAGGGAAGTTTCAGTGTCCTCCAGCCAGAGAATTCTTCAGTCTAACTCTATGAAGGTTTCTCCCATAGTAAGAGCTCAGTCCCCTCCCAGCCCAGGCTACCCCTCTCATCTCTGCCTTCTCTCCTGGGTGCTGCAGGCAGTGCCCTCAGCCCTGCTGGGCTGTGCAAAAGAGGTGCTCCTGGGCAGAGCTGTGTCTTTGAAGCTGTTCTTGGTTGCCAGGAGCTCCCTGTGTGCCAGGAGCCCAGCCCAGCTCAGCAGCACAGCAACAGCCCCAGGCATTTCATCACCCTGGGGGCTTTGGGGATGAGTCCCTGAACATCAGACCCTGAGAAGAGTTGCAAGAACCTCTTGAGAAACCAAAGTGAGACTCAAACTGTAAAGTTTCTTGTAGTGTTAATGAGTCCCACTGAGGGATCCAACTGAGAAAAGATCTTGTTAGAGCACAAAACTGGAAACTGTGATGACAGGCCAGAGAATCACAAAATCATCAAGGTTGGAAGAGACCTTCAAGATCTTTTGGTGCAACTGTCAACCAGAAGCATCAAAATCTCCCCTAAACAACATACCAAATGCCATATTCAGATGCCATCTGAACACTTCCAGAGACTCCATCACCCCATAAGAATCTTATTCCAATACCTAAACATTTAGTGTAAACTGAGTCTAGAGGCTCAAGATGCACTGGTTCTAAAATTGGCAATAGAGCAAATGATGACTGTCAACAAATATTAAGGTCCCTCAAAGATCCCACTCCAATGGACATGGTTAAGGAGTGTTGCAATGTAGCATCCAACACGTACAACAAATCCCTACCAACTGAAGTCCTGGCAGTGTAATAACAACCGAAGGAGGCTACGTGTCACCACTGCACACAAACAGGACATTTTCAAAGGGATTGCCCTCAGCTGGAAAGAAGAGCCCCTGCAGTACCACCCAGCTTGTGTCCCTGATGCCAAAAGGGACTGCACTGGGCCAGTGACTGTAGATCACTCTTGGACAGAGAGGGGAGGCCGCTTTCGCCGAAAGCTGCACAAAGGCTGGCCTCGATTTCAGGAAATGGGGAGCCGAACACAAAGGGCAGCGTGATGATAAAAAATGCCCCACAAGTCAACCACACCCAGCTGCTCCCCTCACTCCTGGACAGAGACCCAGAGCAAGTGTCTCTAGGGTGGAGTTGGCGTCTCCCCACCAACTCACAATAAGCAGTGACAACCACCAAACAGTTCTTGTGAGACCAACGAATAACCTTCCAGTACCTGCTGGAAAAGACATTTTAACTGGGACTGCTCCATCTAATAATACAGGGTTAACAGTTATCCCACAGTGAGGGACTGTAGACAACCCTAAGGCATTAGAAGTGACAATAATAGCTCTATTTCCACCCGTAGAGCAAGACACAGAAACAACCATTGCCAATTAAGCCTGTATTGACATCAGGTAGGGGTAGGAGGATGCCAGACACTGATCCAAAGTGTTTCCACTTTACTGATCGAAGGACCAGAAGGTAAAACTGCCTCAGAAAAGCCCTATGTCCTTAATATCCCAATGACCCTCTGGGGCAGAGATATGATAGGACAACGGGGAGTCCAACTAACTACCTCAAATTTAGTTTAAAGGCCACTGGTGAGCCACAATCTCTTGCCCTCACATGGCTGTCTGACCAGCCAATCTGGGTATCCCAGTGGCCATTAAAGGGAGAGAAATTGCAGCAATTCAACCTACTAGTACATGAACAACCAGCAAAGGGACGTATTGTACCAACTGATAGTCCCTGGAATTTCCCCATTTTTACCATATGGAAGTCCAATGGAAAGTGGAGACTACTACAGGATTTAAGAGAACTCCATAAAATAATAGAGCTGATGGGGGGTCTTCAGCCAGGATTCCATCACCAACAATAATATCTTCAAAGTGGCCTATTGTTCTATTGATAGAAAAGATAATTTCTTTAACATTGCATTAAACTCTAAAGACTCTCGTAGGTTCACGTTTACAGTGCCTTCCATCAACGCAGCAGAACCATCTCAGCGCTATCACTGGACAGTCCTCCCACAAGGAAGGAGGAACAGCCCCTCCGTTTGCCAAAGAGTCGTTGCAGACGTGTTATCACCAATCCATTGACAGTGTCCGGATACCATCGTATCTCACTCTAGGGACGATCTCTTGCTGGCAGCGGAATCCGAGGGACAACTCATGCAAGTGCATTTGTCTGTGAAAACTGTACTATTGACACATGGTCTGAAATTGTACCTGGGAAAGAACAAGTGACAGTTCCTTGGAAATACCTTGGATTTCAAATTAATAACACCACTATTCAGCTCCAGACTGTTACTTTATCCACTAACATCCATCATTAAAAATTTTGCAGTTGGTACTGGGCTTAATCAGTTGTGTTAGGCCTCTGTTAGGTGTAACAACAGACCCCCTGAAACCGCTCTTTCAGCTCCTGAAAGGGGAGGCAGACTTAACCTGTCCTCGACGCTTAACACCAGCAACCCTGGCAATATTAAAGGAAATAAATCAAAGACTGAGTTCCTGACAGACTAAAAGAAAAGTGTGTGGATTACCTGTTGTTTTAGTAATTTTTAAAGGTATCAAACAACCTTATGCTGTAATAGGACAATTAGATGTAAAAGGCAAAGACTTTCTGTTATGTTTTAAGCTTCCAGTTTTCCAAACGCATTCCTACATATCC